CCGGTAGAGCTCCGGCGGAGTTAATGTTGGGTCGTCAGCTTAATGGACCTCTGGAGAGGTTGATCCTTAGACCCCCCACGCCTGACCAAGTTTCCTATACTCTAGTCGAACGTCAAAACAAGATGGCAGAGGAGGTAAAACTCCGAGTTGGGGTACAACAAACCAGACAAGCTAGATATTATAATGCCCGACGGAAGGATGCGCAATTCAAGCCGGGAGATCTAGTCTGGATTAGGACTCACCCTCTCTCGTTTGCCGCCACTAAATTCGCTGCCAAGCTAGCGCCCAAGTGGGAGGGTCCAGCTGAGATTTTAAAAAGGATGGGGCCAATAAATTACACAGTGAGTTGGGGCAGTCCACTTAAAACAGATGTTATAAATGTGGTTAATCTAAAGCGCTGGTACGGACAATCTCCACCTATGCCGAAGGCTGGGGGGGGGATCTATGTAGCGTGGCCACATAGGAGGAAAGTTTAGATATGGTTAGTGACTATTATTTAATGTTTAGTCACGGGAATTTCCTAACTTTTTCTACTTTACTCTTTACTCTGAATGCCTTGCTATTGTATTGTATTTGCATCCCAAGTTCTGTGCGCGCTTGAACATGTGATGACGTTTGTCACGTGGGCGTTGGTCACAGGTAAACAGGAAAAGACTTTTAGTTTGCCATAAAAGGAACCGGAAAACTAATGTTCAAGAGAAGCGTCTTCTCATTCACAAAACCGGCCGGTGTTTATGTGGATTTTCCCGGGTTCGATGGTCTTAGAAGTGCCGACTCGCCGTTCCTCAGTGGAGAACTTCTATTGGCTCGTTGCCAGGATTACTTTTCGAGGACTTAAGCCTGTCATCCCCGCTTTTGATCACGCTCACGGTGTTGACATTCCTTCTGGTGAGGCTGATCTTAACACACACTCACACACACACACGCGGGACTATAGACATTGCCTTTGGACTTATGCACACACACTTACTCTCATACAACGGGCTTTATATTGTTGTGGTGTATTATTGTTTGTGTGTATGTTTTGTGTGATATACACGGAAGGAGATTTTGAACTTGCAGGATGTTCCATGAACTCTGTTTTCAACCATCTTAAAAAGGAAAAGGAAATTAGAATAGACGTTCTTATTTAATTTGTAACTTGGCTGTACAACGATCAGTTTGTTACACAGCGACACGCAGCGACAAAGCGACAAGATCCCATTCATTTCAATGGAGCGCTGGCGACATCCGGCGACAGAATGTGGGCGTGTCAAGCGACAAGAGACAAGCGACAAAAGTTGAGAATTTTCAACTTTATGCAAATGAGAAGCGATTTTCGCGAGCGACAACCAATAGTCAAGTCAAGTCAAGTCACATTTATTTATATAGCGCTTTTCACAATACAGATTGTATCAAAGCAGCTTCACAGTGATAACATGAAAGTAGCACAACACAGATCAACAACATTGCTAAACACTAAATAACCCCAACTGAGCAAGCTCAAAGCAAGCCAAAAGCAAGGCGACAGTGGCAAGGAACCAAACTCCATCAGATTGGATGGAGAAAAAACCTTGGGAGAACCCAGGCTCAGTCGGGGGCCAGTTCTCCTCTGGCTTACATTCATATTGTTTAAATATAAATATTAAGTATAAATATTGTTTATGAATCAAACGGCGCCATAACATATCGCAGGCGTTGAGTCGTCTCATCACAGGCGTTGAGTCGTCTCATCACAGGCGTTGGGGCATCCGAAATCCCCGTGAGAGGCTGGACACAAAACTGGACCTGACGAACGCCATTTTTCTCGGGACAAGCGTCCCGAGATAACAGCAGAAAGGCAGATGGGAAATAATTAGCATAGCTGATGTTCATAATGATTTCCGTTATAACTCACAAACTCTCCGTAACCCGAACTCTCCGCAACCCAACCATACGCGCCGACCCGTTTGTCTAAAAGGCTGTCGAGCCCCACTGGTGCGTTAAGCAGTTTCAGTGGCAAACGGTTCCGTATGGCATAACAGAGGACTAGAAGGTAAGCATTATGTGAATGCTTGACTAAAGAGATGCGTCTTTAATCTAGTTTTGAACTGTGTCAGCGAGTCAGAGGCTCGGACCGTATCGGGAAGGCCATTCCAGAGTTTTGGAGCTAAATGCGAGAACGCCCTCCCTCCTTTACTGGACTTCGATATCCTAGGAATGACCTTTCCCCAATAGGAAAGAAGACTTTCAGTGGAGCTCAGCTCACGTCACCGTCTCGAGTGCAGTGCAGGCAAGACAGAAAGAAAGAGTTTGAGGACGATTTCACTGTTTTATATGATTTGACTGTAACCACATACATGGATAATAAAAGAAACTGTCGACAGTGAGTTTAATTCATACATTTAACGTTATAGTTCGAGTGTTGTAATTATATAATGCACGTTAGCACTGCTGCAGTTAATTTTACAATTTCCCCTGCATTACATTGACTATTAGGGACAAGAAAATTGATTATTTGTCAAATTCGAATGATGTTTTTATAATTTGTGACAGTATGAGTGAGTTTAATTTGTTCATTGATCGATCGTTGATCTAGTAAATGATTTAATCCACTGAACACAGCTGTGGAGATATAAAAACACTCTCCCAACAGCATATGGTTTCTTTTTAGCCTTAAAAGTCATTTATTCCCAGTCAAATTAAAATTATATATCACTTGTGATGGTCTTTTGTATAGATATGGCCAGACGTGCAGTCTACCAATAACACAAGAGCGACAGCACTATGAACGCCCACAAGCGACATCACAGTACAGAGCCTAGCGACACACAGCGACAAAATCGCTGGCGGTGTGAACGGGGCTTTAGTCTGACCCGTCGCCTAGGACCTGTTTGCCTTGGGAGACCCTACCAGGGGCGTATAGCCCCATACAACAAAGCTCCTAGGGTCGTTCGGGTAATAAAACCCCTCCCACAAGGTTTTTTTTTTTTTTTTTTTTTTTTTTTACAATAGAAATGTGTTCAATTCCCTAATTAAATATTTAAATGCCTTTTTCTCAAATTGAGTTTTTTTGTCATTCTCCAGTACAAATATCTCAGCCTATGTAGCACCTATGTACACCAAACTTTCCAGTTATACACTTACCAGTATTCTGAAGATTTTTTTTCACAGGGATTTGTTAATAATAATAATAATAATAATGTTTTAAATTGTAAAATCACTGCATTTTTTTAATGTTGCCTGGGTGAGCATAAATAACTTCTACCCCTAAACTTTCGAATGTAGTGTATATTTTGACTTTGGTTGGTGTAGTTTATTACATGGCTCCCTTGAATATTCTGATTTCTGATCTAAATGTTTTCTATGTAAATGTTTTATACTTTGTGTTGAAGCTAAGAAAAAAAGTTTAGATTATTAGTCCAGACACACCCTTGTTGGATTAAAGAGGGAAGGGTCATCTTCTGCACTCTGGATCCCCATAAGGCATGTGAGTTGTGATTGTGAGAAAGTGAAAAAAAAGGAAAAATGAAATGAGAGATTTGAATATATGGTCTGTTTAACTTTCTACTGTCACGCGTTGTGTGTAATAATAAATATATAATGTGTGTAGTTATATATTATGTAATAGTGAATGTCTCCTGATAATGGTGTCTCCTACTGATAGTGAAAGTGAATCTGGCTGTCATTCATATGCATCTTTGCATGGTGTGTGACTCATCTGGTAGTTTTTCAGCGAAGTTCATGGTTTATCCATTCACCCAACCCTGACTCAGCATGATAAGCCTAATACGTGCTTACAGGCATGCTGAGTCGAGTGTTTTTGTTGAGTCGCAGTTGTTGTCCCAGTTGTTGTGACAGTACAGCAGTTACTTTACTGTCCACTAGAGGGAGACAATCGCCTTACACCCTCGCACCTCTATCCTATTGAGGTCATTACAGCATTCCCCTGATTATAGTGTTTACTCTATCTATATCTAGAGAAAACATGATTTTATTGCACTGCTTTGAATCAATGTTGATCTCGAAGTCAAATTACCGTGTTTTGTTAATCTTTGTGTGCTAATGTGCATGTATATGTGCTTGATGCAGTGTAGTATTACTTATAGATAGTACAGAAGTACTTTGAGTCATTTTAATGAACATAATCAACATAATTTCCATCAGAAAATACAGCGGAAGGTACAGCAAGGGGGGAGGGGGGTTGAAAACTGATAGTGGAAGATCTAGAGAGGGTTGCTATAGCAACTATGCAAGTCTTTGAGACAGAGCTGAGGTTTCCATAACAACTACATCACACCCTCTAAGAAGGCATCCTTGAAATAATAATGTCTGACTTTACACAGACATTACCACTCAAGGTGTCTGACAGCGTGTTTAAAGATTATGGGGAAAACTGGCATATTACAATTTATACATTTAAAGGGGAGGAGTTTACATTGAGGGGGGAGAAAACTGAAACAAAAGCATGCAAATGAAATAGAAACACACCCTCTCTGAGGCCATTACCAATCCAATTGAATCAGCATAACTATTCAAATGCTGATAGTGGCCAGGAACTCTGGTTACAGAAGTACAAAGTTTAAAGATTATGGGGAAAACTGGCATATTTTTCTTGAATATTCCAGACTTTTCCAGTTTCAAATGCAGATTTGAAAGTGTCATATCACAACCCTATTTAAAGGAAAGATTTGAGGGTTGCCATGGTGATGTGAGATAAAGAGAAATAGGGTGAGAGAAATGAATATCATACTCCGGTCTACATAAGTTGAACTGAAATCAATCATCATGACAACCTGTGATGTGCGTCATTCTTCAGTTCACACTTCAATTGAATCAAAACCTAATAGTGTTGATAAGGCGCATCAAACCCAAGTCAATCTTAAAATTTTGGTGTGCTTTGTCAGCATCGTGTAATATATGTGATGTTCTGTATGTTTGGACATGTTGATGAGGACATGGTACGCCGGTTGAGTCCTCATTGGCTGCTGTATCATATAACTGTGTGTGTGTGTGTGTGTGTGTGTGTGTGTGTGTTACAGCCGACATGGAGCAGGTATCAGATGATGAGCTAGATCATGCTGCTGAAGAAGACAGTGATAAGGAGGATCAGGATCTGGACAAGATGTTTGGGGCCTGGTTGGGAGAACTGGACAAACTCACACAGGTGACACTCACACTCAATGCGACATTGTGATGTATTATCTTTAATATGACGTATTATCTTCACTTTGTGGGCTTTCCTCTGAAATTATTTATATATGCAATTTATTTGATTAATGTAATAACTTTTTGTCGGTATAGGTCAGTATTGGATATTTGTTTGTACATGCTCGTTTCCCCTATTTTTTACATTTAGATTACTTTTCCTGTCATTGAATGGAGTTGGCATTTTAATATAATTTACGAAATGCCAGTTTGCTGCTTAAGGAGTCAAGTCACATTTATTTATATAGCCCTTTTTACAATACATATTGTTTCAAAGCAGCTTTACAGAGATAACAGTAAAATAATGCAACAAAGTTTGTTTCGGCTGTAGAGCAGATCTAAAAGGAAATTGTGCCATAGTCTGGCTTAAATAAGTCGATGCTTATGGTTAAGTGAAAAATTTAATAATTTAGTTAATTTAGTGGTCATAACATAAAAGTAATATTTGATTAGAATTTTGTATTCTTTTACAATCCTTCATAAATTGACAGCCTTAAATAAGATACTTTATTTTCATTCACTTTAATGTATGGTTTTATTGTATTGATGATTTATATCTATGATTTAGCTGTCTCTTCTTACCTAATGTGTGCCCCCCCCCCCCCCCCCCCCCCTCTCTCTTTTTCTCTGTAATGTTAGAGTTTGGATCATGGGCGTCCTGAGAAAGTGCAAAAAGCTCCTCTCAGACAGGAAACAAACCTTGCCAATTTCTCCTACCGTTTCTCTATGTACAACATCAATGGTTAGACTACACACAGACACACACCGCCTTTGTTTACTCAACATTCTTTATCACTCACAATGCCTTCTCGTGTATCTGCGGTGTTTTGCATTCTGCAATTTTCATGGCTTATCATAAAACCACCATCATAACAGCAAAATGTTTCATATCATTCTAATATGCTGATTTGGTGCTCAGAAAATATTTGAAATCTATATCTTTTGAAACATTATACATTTCTTTACTGTGACATCCTTTTATTTCTTGCAAAAAAAAAAAAAAAAAAAATCTTACTGAGCCCAAATGTTACCCAAACATTAGTATATGTATCAGACCAAATTGTCCTCTATCTTTCCATGTAGAAGCTATTAACCAGGGTGAGACGGTGGACCTGGACGCTCTCATGGCTGACCTGTGTTCAATAGAACAAGAGCTCAGCAAACCCATGAGCAAGACCTCAGAGGCCAAATCTAGACAGAGACCGACAGGCCGCTCGGCCAGCACCAAACACACTGGAGGGGGCAGCAGCGGAGGAAGCACCAGCAGCAGCACCCGAGCTTCTCCCGCTTCCACCGTACGCGGTGGCTGTGGGCAGTCACGGCCCCTGGCCTCCAACTTTTCCCTGGATGACATCACTGCTCAGCTAGAAAAGGCATCCCTGAGCATGGACGAGGCAGCAAAACAGACTTCTGAATCTTCCTCATCGTCCTCCTCCTCATATTCATCTGCCACTCTCTCACACCCGCCTTCTAACTCACATCATCGCCGTACAGGATCGGTTGGCACAGTCAGCGACCAGGAAGTGCGCTCGATCGGTCATTCCTCCAGGTCAAGCGTCAACTCTGCCTCGGCATCCAGCATGGACTCTCTGGATATCCGAGGGCAGGAGAATGAGGCACAGTCACAGAATCAGAGCCAAAGCCAGACTAGCACAGAGGTAACACACACAAACATGATTTTTCGTTTTGAATTATTTCATAGCTAGCACTTAGACTGGACAGTAAACATGACAGCGTGTCCATAGAAGACCAAAGGTATAGAAGAGCTTCTCACTGTGAGAACCTCAGAGAGAAATTTCAGCAGAGTGAGATGAAAACTGAAAGCAGATATGAGGGGCTTAAATCTGAAGCACAACAACAGAAAATAAATATCCACAAAAGAAAGGGATAGAGAGACATTGTCAGTCAGCACAGGGATAATGATATAAATCAGGTCTGGTACCTTTACCACATACAGTGTAGCCTAATCTCACAGCTCCAGTTTAGAGATTCCAAGTCAAAGTCAACACAAATGTTTTTGATGGTTCAGAATCCATTTAACATTTTCTTTTTTTCTTTATTACATGTATTTTCATTAAGTACATCAAACATCATTACTTGATGAACCCAAAGAATAGTGATGCTAAGGCTAGCTAATAAAACAACTGAATGAACCTTTAATTATAAAAAAAAAAATTACACAACAATGACTTTAATTTTGTGACTTTAATGACTTTAATGTTGTTTTTGTGTAAATGGGGTCACACATTTCAAAGTGATTCAACTATCCTGATGATATCATAAAGAAAAAGTCTCATTTTTTAAAAACTTTTTTTAACTAGAAATTTTCTAGTTTTCTAGTAGTTTAACAGTCTTTTTGAAATATTTGTTTGGGAAAAAAATATTAAAATTTTAAAAAGAAAAATATTTCAGAAGGCTTTTTAAAATTAAAGCTTACATTACAATCTGCTTTATTACATGAAAACATATATTTGTCAATGAACCACAGGGAACAGAGGAATCCATTTGCAGCTTTATTAAACAGAGTCGTACAGGCAGGGTCGAGACGAGGCAGACAGAACAATGTAGATAAGACAACAGGATAATCCAGGGAACAGGCAGAGATCAGGGCAGGCAGCAATAATCGTAATCCGTAAACAGTCCGAGTTCAGGCCAGGCAGATAACAATCACAGGAGAGTCAAACAGTCCAAAGTCCAAAATCAGAATCAGGGTATAAACGCTCAGAAATGATCACCGGGGCAAATCAAGACTTCGCACTGGTGTGGTGTGTGAAGGTGGCTTTTATGGGTGTGTGCAAATGCAGTGCAGGTGTGAGGCGCAATCAGTCCCAGGTATGAGGCATGATGGGAATTTGAGTTCAAAGCCAATGATCAATATTCCGGGGAAGGCTCCCTCTGGTGGCGGAGAGGAGGCGGAGCGGGAGCTTCCATTGTAACACAGATGAATCATTGAAAATAAGAGCCCATCAATCTAAATAGCGTCAATTTGGATTTCATGTTGACTTTAATACTTAGATTAGTACAAAGATTTGCCAGTAATTATGTAGGAGTTTCTTAATGTGGATGTTAGAGTGTATATGTGGGTGTTTAAGAGATTCATTATATTTTGAATAAATGTCTTCCTGTCAGTCTAATTGCTACCAAAAAACAAAGAGTCATTGACCATTTAAAATGTTTATCCTCTTATTCACGAAACCGTTTAGAACAAAGAGGGTCTCCCTGTGACCCAGACACACACACAGTTCTATGCATAGCAGTTGTTTGTTCTTTTGTTGAGGGCAAAGTCTGTATTGTGGTTTTGGGAAATGTGATGATCAAGGTTTCACTGAATTCACCATGGAATGATTAAAGCTGAGTTATCTCTTGGCTGCCCACATAGTTCTCACACACTCATATACAACCAATTTCTCACAAGCACGCACATTCAGCTTTTATAGTTCTTCAGTAAGTCAAGTCAAGTCACATTTATTTATATAGCGCTCGCCGCTTTTCACAATACAGATTGTATCAAAGCAGCTTCACAGTGATAACATGAAAGTAGTACAACACAGAACAATAATATTGTTAAATATTAAATACTAAATGATCCCGACTAAGCAAGCCAAAAGCAAGGTGACAGTGGCAAGGAACCAAAACTCTATCAGATTGGATGGAGAAAAAACCTTGGGAGAACCCAGGCTCAGTCGGAGGCCAGTTCTCCTCTGGCTTACATTCATATTGTTTATATATAAATATTAAATATAAATATTGTTTATATATAAAACGGCGCCATACCATATCGCAGGCGTTGAGTCGTCTCTTCACAGGCGCTGGTCTTCTCATCACAGGCGTTGGGGCATCCGAAATCCCCGTGAGAGGCTGGATACAAAACTGGACCTGACGAACGCCATTTTTCTCGGGACAAGCGTCCCGAGATAACAGCAGAAAGGCAGATGGGAGATAATTAGCATAGCTGATATTCATAATGATTTCCATTATACGGGAGTCGGTGTTAGAAAACCACTATCTCACAAAATCACCGCAACCCAACCATACGCGCCAACCCGTTTGACTAAGGCTGTCGAGCCCCACTGTCGCGGAAATGCGTTTCAGTTGCAAACAGTTCCGTATGGCATAACAGAGGACTAAAAGGTAATCATTATGTGAATGCTTGACTAAAGAGATGCGTCTTTAATCTAGTTTTAAACTGTGTCAGTGAGTCAGAGCCTCGGACCGTATCGGGAAGGCTATTCCAGAGTTTTGGAGCTAAATGCGAGAACGCGAGTAAATGCGAGTTCCTTTAGTGGACTTAGATATCCTAGGAATGACCAGAAGCCTTGAATTTAGTGATCTTAAGGAACGCGTTGGATTGTTGGGCGAAAGAAGGTAGTACATAGGAGCTAAACCATTTAGGGCTTTATAGGTCAGTAGTAGTACTGTAGTTGATACGGAACTTAATAGGGAACCAGTGTAGAGATGATAAAATCGGTGTTATATGATCATATTTTCTTGACCTAGTAAGAACTCTAGCAGCTGCATTTTGTACTAACTGTAGCTTGTTTATTGAGGATGTAGGGCAACTGGCTAATAAAGCATTACAGTAGTCTAGTCTCAAGGTCATGAATGCATGAACTAACTTTTCTGCATCAGAAACAGATAGCAATGTACTGCTGTCAGAACATGGGAAGAAAATCTGATAAAACAGAGATGTTATTATGGCACTATTCTAACCACAGCATTGCTCATCCGCACCAGGATGTACAGACCCTGACACTTTAACAAACTATAAATACATACTTCGGTTTTAGATGTACTGAATCTAGTAGAAGGTAAACTAGCGCTGTTTCACAGATGGAACAATGTGATTTCATGTCTGCATGTGAAAGATAATGCGTGCACAAATCATGTGAAAGAGAATGTGTGCACAAATCCTCCCATCGCAGTCTTGCATGACAAAATCACGTGACAGACATTGTGCTGTACATGGTCACTGTAAATATTACAGTGTGACAGTAACACCTGCTTTGCTACATGACTACTCTAACTCATATAAATGCATGATGTGTTTGTTTTGGTAACATCTTTGTTGCTGTACTGTATGCTTACACTAAAAAAGTTATGTAGGAGCAACTTATGAGATGGCCTCTGTAATGTCTTCTATATTAATATGAAACAAGGGTTTTCAACCACTTTTCTGTGGACCCATAGGCTCTGTGATGAGCTACTGCAGTGAAAATATACCATATAAAAAGCATATTTTTCACTCTTAGAATAAAAGGTTCTGTATAGAACCTTTGGGTTCTGTCAGGCATAATTCAATTTGTTATCAATTTTTATTTTCATAAAACTGCTTGTAAGCATAATTTATTTGACATTTTCAATCATTTCAATACAAACATGAAAGGATAATGCCATAATTTAAGAAAATTAAGATATTTCAACGTTTTCGGCATATCTAGGGTTCTATATATGTCTATTTAAAAAAAAATTTCAAAGAGTGTATATATTTGGGGTCTCTAGGTTGCTTGAGGGGGATGGGGTACAGGGTCCATTGGTCTGTAAAGGTTGAAAACCCACCCTTTGAAAGAAACAATGGAGGAGAGGATTAAGTATTGTTAAAGAGAATCCACAGAGTTAAAGGCCCCTTATTCTGCTTCTTTTCTTTTTTTAATATTACCTTTAATGCGACGTGTAATAATGCTAGCTTTTTCTTAATGTAAAAGGTCTGCAAAGTTTAAAGATCAAAGTGCACATCAAATAAAGTTAGTGTCTCCTAAAAGCAAGAATTAATTAACTGCCAAAAACGAGTCGTCAGCGATTCCAGTCTCACTTCCTGTAACAAATGTGCATAATACCAGCCTATGGTCTTCATTGGCTGCCCACGAACAAAGTCTACTTTGTCTTTGACCCGTCCTCAAACCCTCTAGATGTAGCTAGAGGCCTAGAAGAGTTTGGTTTGTGTTGTTGACATGTCAAGAAGACACTGTTTTCATTGCTGCGAATCCACTTTGCATACACTTCATAAGGATGAGAAGGAATTGATACGGGAAAAAATGACGGAATCGTTCTTATAGCTGTGTATATAAGCACTGAGGAAGCCTCTGGAGTTAAAATTCAGATATTATTAATGGGATTAATGGGAGTTTTGTTCCCGCCATGCGCTGCAAGCGATAGACCAATCACGACAGACTTGGCCAAAACAAACAAAAAGCATGCTTACAGTTAAGATATGAAAATACAGTTTTATCTGATTAGGCAGAGCAGCACAGTAAATGTTAAAATACATGCTGTTTCTAAAGTAATGGCAAAAGACTTGAATTATATATGTCAGTCAAACAGTGAAACTGATGTGCTGAAATTGCTTAAAATATGTCAAAACTGTCATGGCCACAAAAACTAGTATTTTTGCACAGCAAGGATACCCGAGAAGGGACATGATGTAACTATCTGCGAAGTATTGATAACATTGAGCAAACTCACTCCCACCCACAGGATTTGCATTGGTAATGCGTAACTAAAAGTTAATCTGCCTAGAACTGTATGCTAACCTCAAAAAGGATCATTTTGAAAACTTGACGGTTCAATACAAGCCCATTCTGCCATAATTTACTCACCTTCACGATACAATATTCTATCATCATTTTTGTCCATCTCACGTGTCAAGCAAGTATACAGTTGAGCTTCTGTTTACTTCAATTCATGTGCTCTATATGCTTTGATCAATGTTTATATATGAACAAAGAACGTATATTGACAAGAAGTGAAAGCCAATAGAACGTTCCATTGCAACACCAGCGCCCAGCAGCAGCCCTACGCTTCCGCCATTTCGGGGTGAAAGCGACTCGGCAGTCATATAATATATATTTAGTCCAGTGCAGAGATCATTTTTTAGGTTGAAATAATTAGGCTAGGTGATTATAAAACTCACAACAGTTAAATTTATAGCAGTTAAAAAGAAGTTACTTAACCGGGCTTTTACCCCATAACTTGAGACAGAGAAGTTCAAGGATTTAATTCATTATATTACTCTCCACTTTAAGTGTGATAGGTAAAAATAAAGTGATATCAGTTCATAAAGTTATAATAACATTAGACCGTTTCCCGGGAGGTACACATAACGTTACAAAAATAAGTAATCAATGAAATAAATTAATTCAGCAAATACATGTTGTACTAAAATGTAAATGTTTGACGATATAACAGCAAAAGAATAGCTTTACAATAAACAGTTTTTTTTTTTTTTTTTTTTTTTTTTTTTGCAGTACTAGCCTATCTTATATTAATGACCGTTAAAGCAAGACCTGTAAACAAACATAAAAACCCAGCCAATGACCAAAGTGGCAATTAGTTATAGGATAACGGACACAGCGCATCAATGATCATCATGTTTGTAGCATGATCCAGGGGATTAAAACGTCCAAAATATATTTCAGGCCTAGTGGAGTTGGTAATTAATAATAGTAGTAAAAGTGTAAAGTTGCATACAATGGAAATACTCACTAATGCAAGAAAAAACTACCTCAAAAAAACTATTATCTGTGCTGTTGTCCAGTAACTCCAGTTGGAATTTTCACCCCGATATGGCGGAAGCGCTACTGAAGCGCCATCTAGTGGCTGTTACCAAAAAAGCATCAGAGTTTCGCCTCTTGTTCTTCTATACTCTTTGATATGAATAAAAGCCTACATTTAATTTGTTCATTTATATATAAATCAATTCAGTAGATTTGGGCTAAACAACGTCTTTCAGTGGATGGACAAAAATGATGACAGAATATTTAAAAAATATCTTCATTTGTTTCAAAAATAAGTATTCCATTAACAAAAATAGAATTTTCCCCATAGACTTCCATAGTACGTCCAATACTGTAAACTGAGGTACAAGTCAAAATTATTTTCTGTTCTAATCAACAGTATATGCAGCATATTGTCGATTTAGATTGTATTCAACCCTAACATTCATAATGTTTTACCAGAGTAACAGCATATATTGACCCTTGCTTGTGCATGCATCATTTTGCATTGTCTGCTTGCATGATTAATGTGTTTATGTTTGCACCTTTTCTGTATGTGATGTCACTACCTCCCCCACCCCTTTTCCCAGCATGTCTTACTGCGAAGGGCCAATGGTAAAGCTACCAGACGCCATCTAGACTTTGCCTCACAGGAGGGGGAGGTGGATCAAAGGACTGTAAGTGTGTGTGTGTGTGTGTGTGTGTGTGTGTGTGTGTGTGTGTGTGTGTGTGTGTGTGTGTGTGTGTGTGTGTGTGTGCGTGCACGTGCGTGCGTGCGTGCGTGCATGTGTATGTGTACGACTGGGGTAAAGGATATGTGTACACAGTATGTTCTTTCTCAAAATACTGGGTCTTAATACACCTGTGATAATTCCAGGATTCATATTGTCATCCTTTTGGTTAAAAAAGGGACCTCAGGAGCGGTGTGTTCTCGGCATAAGAGAACTGTGATCCACAATATTTTTAGAGAACTAAAAGAAGTACACAAGAAAGTTCTTTTACATATATTTTTTTCCCTCCTCACTTTTATATATCACCTCTTTATGATTTTGAATAATCGATAGGTGCTTCCACACTGTCTATGCTTTACCACAATCAAGTATGTATTTCTATCATTTTTGAAATCACAGTAATCATTGCACTGATTAATCTCTGTTTGTCTTTTCCCTGCACCCTGAAGCACTCGTATTTGGACAGGGAGACCTCTCTGATTCTGAAAAACATTGCAGGAAAACCCTCTCACCTGCTGACCAAGGTGACGCCTTCTTTCGCTTGCTGCTTTTTCCTTTCTCTGCATGTTTTGGGTTTATGTATCCACAGAAAGCCTTTTAACCTCAGACTTCTAGCCAGACTTGACACTTTGCTCCACCCACACTGCCTTCTTACATTTTTAAAGTGTTGTATCTTCTGTATTCTTTTTCTTTTTGCTGCCATCCTAATATGTGTGCCATTTAAAGTTGAAATCAGATCATCCAGCCCAAAGGGTCTATAATGTTATCATACATTATATAATAACACCCTACATTACCTTTCTGTGACAAGAAAACATGGCTTTTGTATTATATATATATATATATATATATATAATTTTTTTTTTTTTTTACTTTATTTCAGTCAGGTTTTCATTACTAATGTAAAGTGATAAAGTTACAAATATTGTTTGTTCCTTGTTTAAGAAATGTGTATCTTAAAAATACTACAGTTGTTGGCAGGATATTTTGTAGAGGTTTTTTTTTTTTTTTTTTTTTTTAATGCCTTGTTATCACTGCTTCCCTGAAGAAATGGCTGTTCATCACTTACATAATTTCATTTTAGGACATTTCAATAGCTCACATATAAAACTGAAACCGATTTACCTATTATTTTGTTTTGATGCCACAATTCGTGTGGAATTGGTGTTTGTTGTACAAGTAGTATATTTACACTAGTGACTCCCTTAATATTGAATCACAGACAGATTTACTTTTCTTGTGATAAAACAATATTATTTTAAAATGGATACTTCACCAAAAAAATGAAAATTCTATCACACTTATGTCATTCCACACCTGTGACTTTCTTTCTGCAGAACACAAAAGATATTTTGCAGAGTACAGGTAGCCAAACAGTTTTTTGGGGGGAACAAAACTGATACATTAAAATACTTTTTATTTTTTGTTCCATACAAGAACAAAAATTATACAGGTTTTTAACTACATGAGTGAGGAAGTAACGACAGATTTTTGGGGGGTCAGCTATCTATGGCTATAAATCTGTTAGCCATGTAGCATAGACATTCTTGTTTTGTTTTTTTTTTTGTTTTTTTTTTTGTTTTTTACATTTAAACATTAATTAGCTAACAAAAGGCTTTGTATTGACTAACTTTTTTAATTTATTCCTGAGAACAGATATTATGCATGTGATTGAAGATGTTGTCATACCAATGTAGATGCTTTTTCTGGTGCAGGGAATGGTGGGTTAAGAGCATTTTGTTATGTTGAGTTACTAAATAATAAAAATGTCAATCTGACGCCACTTTGATTTTTCAAGGATGTGTGAGCTTTTGTTAAACCATGAAGCTTGTGCAATGGCCCAATTGATAAGGTTTATTATGTTCTGAAGTTCAATCTACTGCATTACAACATTATTTCTATTACTTGTTGTAGTATGGTAAGTATATTAAAGTTTACAACATGTATATAAAATGTTAAAAGGAACAGCTATTTTGAATTCATTTTCTTAGTGTTTTCAAGTTTCTTAGTATGCAAAATATGATCTCTAGAATTTCTAGTGACCTAGAATAGTGTAGAATTGTTCTGTTAACATTTGATTTTTGGTTTTAACTGGCATTAAACAATGAGTTTGTCCTTTTAATTAGGGTTAGTTTTTTCTTTAAATAAATTTGTCAACTAAGTTTTATTTATTTGTCATGACATGTACAGAGACAGAATTGTTTCCTCATGATTTCATCAGATCTCTCAGATTGCTTTTCTGTTCCACTCTGGATGGACTCACTGCAGACTTGCTGAGACACAGACTCTCTGCTCAAACACAGACAGAGAGAGAACTGGAGAAAGGAAAAAAGACTTCAAAGGGAATTTAATGTTTTTTATCGAAGCCTGAGCCTCGGCTGTTTGCAGATCTCTCCCATTTTTTTTCATTCTCTCTCTCTCTCTCTGCATCATAAATATGCATCTGCCATAGACAATGATTTGAGAAAGAGAAGCTGGTCTTTCAGATCACATATATCCCTCTTTGTTCCTTCCCCACTCTCTCCTGTCATCATTATATGCGTTTCACTGCACATTCTTTGCATATTGAAATCTTTATTTGTCTCTTTGACTTTGTATTTCTTAATCTGCCCATCTCTGTTCAGTTAGAAAAAACATGGCATAATAATAATCAAAGTTGAGGGGGTAACGCAAGTTACGCAACCTGACTTAATCCTTGGCCTTTCGAAGCCCCTCCAAATTACTAACTTTTTTCTTTAAATAAATGGGTGAAACAATAAGTACAAGGCCTAGATATCTTTCATCCCCACGGTGGAGGGTGTTTTCCCACAACCACAGAAAAAGCATCAGAAAACAATATCATCTGCATTTGGCCTCAAAGTTATTGGCCAGTGGAAAGAAGGTCAAAGAAAAAAACCGAATTGATTGGCCGCTGAGAAGCATATGTACATTCTGATTGGAGAAGTGGTACGAGAGGGTCTTTTATAGCTGATGGCGGCTTGGTCTGCTGGTGAGAGAGATTAAACCCTGTGATTGGGCACGTTACCAGAGACATGCAGCTGTTTCACAGAGAGAAAAGAGAGGGGGAGGTCTCAATCCCCTCCCAATGCTGAGCAGTAGCGTTGTGTGTAAGGTACTCTGGGTATAGAGATGTGTGAGGGGAAGCGTTTTCATCTTTGTGTTGCGACCAATGCTCATTTCAGCTTCATGTTTCTTCAGATTGAGCTGCAGTAGACTTTTTTTTGGATTATTTAAATTATTTTTATCAGGCCATTACGGCGGCAGCTCTGAAACTTCAGCTGGAAGTACCTGTCAGGCCTTTTAAATAGTCTTGTTATAGCTGCTGTTTGTGATGATGAGAACATTGGTTAATGGAGTTCTGAAACATTCAAGCTGGTGCAGCGGTGAATCTGTGTATCAATTGGGATTGAATGAATGAGCAGCCATTTCTCTAAGGAACCGTTAACATGAGCAGAGTGAACTTGTAACTTCCTTTTGTGTCTCTGGTTGCTGGTTGATCAGATACAGAGACTTTGCAATTGTTTCAGGATTGTTTTAAATGGTCAGAAATGGATGTGATGACTGCATGTTGGAGAGGGCAGGTAAGTGAAGATATGTGCGAAACAGAAATCCACCTGTCTGATTTCATACATCAGTAGTGGATATGTAATGCTCTCCGGGTGTTTCTTTGTTAACATGTCATTGTGTCATCCACAGGACGAGCAGGCTGCCAAAGCGAAGGCTGAGAAAATCCGTGTGGCACTAGAGAAAATTAAAGAAGCCCAGGTGAAAAAGGTGAGTCAAAATCACTGTGAATCTCTGAATCCCTCCAAGGGTCAGTAAACCTCGTCTGTGTACAGCATGATGCAGCCCTTCACACGCTCTAGCAGGAGAAGTCATAGAACGAATGCACAGTAGAAAATAGGTCACCCATGTGTCTGAGAGACTCTGTCTGCTTAGAATGGAAGATGCACAAACAAGTCCTTCATAGCCATTGATGAGGGTTTTACTTCAAATCACATGTTAGTAGTTTTTTTTTGTGTAAACTGGTCTGGATTTTGGGGTTTATTTGTAAGCGACAATGTATCTTGTTACTCCATTGATCAGAATAGGGCTGTCAAAATAAATGCCACCAGGCACATACTAATACCAACCAAGTGAATGAATTAGATACAGTACAGTGATTAGGCCTCTTTAGCCAAGACAGATGACTGTTTCCATTTCATTTGGTGTAAAAAGAAAACTAACAGCTATGGTGCAGTGATACCGATACAGTATGAGACTGCGTCAAAAATGCTTTCAATAATAAAAGAAAAAAATGGCCTAATATAATGATATACAATGGGGTCCAAAAGTCTGAGACCACATTGAAAATCTGGGGGGGTGGGGGGGTCAATAAGAAATATTGGTAACACTTTACAATAAGGTTCATTAGTTAACATTAGTTAATGTATTTACTAACATGCACTAACCATGAGCAATACATTTGTTACTGCATTTGTTCATCTTTGTTAATGTTAGTTCATGAAAATACAGCTGTTCATTGTTTGTTCATGTTAGTTCACGGTGCATTAACTAATGTTAACAAGATTTTAATCAAGTATTAGTAAATGTTGAAAATAACATTAACAAAGATTAACAAATGCTGCATATGTGCTATTCATTATTAGTTCATATTAACTAATGTAGTTAACTAATGTTAACTAACGAACCTTATTGTAAAGTGTTACCGAAATATTTAATATTCTACTTGTGGAGTCCATGTGAGCTAAACTTTTCACTCAAATAGCTGAGAATATAATGTGTAAATTGTAATGAAAGAATTTAAGGGAAAAAAAAAGAAATATTTTTACTGCATGCAGTGTATGCTGTCCTGAGCACAGTCTTGAATAAAATTATATTCAGTTTAGTCCAAACCTAAGTCATAAAAACTTGCACTTGAAAATTGGTTATTCGGTTAAATTGAACACGTGAAAATTTGTGATTATTCTGCTAAAATTCTGTTGTTTCCTGCATTCATCTGTGTTTCAGTTTGCTATGGTTCTAAGTTTATACGCAATCATTTCCTACAATTGAAACATTGCACAAAGTGATAGATTGTTTGTGCTGAGGTCAAAGAATGAGGCAAGCCAGGTCCAGATGTGTGATATAGTGTGGGTCTGCGTGTTTGTTTGAACATATGTGTGAGAGGGAAGAGAGCATGAATTAACAGATTGTTTTCTGCTGAGACCAGGTTTGGAAAAGTGCCTCCTACTCCCTGATATTCTTATGACTTTCAGGACCTCTGGCAGTGCTGTCTGTTAATGTGCCTATGCAACACTTTCTCTCACTCCCCACTTTTTGTTCCTCACTCTCTGGAAGAAATAAAATTGGGTGTGAAATAGAGGGATGAAAGCCAGTTGTCAATTCTGTTCCCAGTTAGTCTTTATTAAAACCACGTTTCTGAAGATCCACATCATATTCCAATTCAGTTCATAAATCTTTGCACTACATATTTGTAACATACTGTTCTGTTTTTCTTATATACAATATCAAAACAAGTGCACAAACTTTAGATGCATGCCATTTGTTTGTTTCATTATATTTGAAACACTGTCTGAATTTTTTACTTGGATATAAGTGTGTTCCATCATGTTATATCTCTGGAGAAATATTTCACAATCTATATTAGTTATGATGATATATACATGCCTTGAAATATTTATGAACATAGCAATATACTTTGGGTTTGCTCACATTTCTGAATCAAATTCATAATCTTATGATGATTACAGTGACAAACACTGTATTTATGTAGTGCATATTACAAAAAAACATTTGTCAAAACTAATAATTTAAAAGAAACCAGAAATATATTATATTCAAGGTTTGTTAAATGAAGTTTTTCACCCATCAGTTAATTTACTGGCCATTCAGTACTTCAAAAAGAAATTAGTATCAGCGATCCAATCAGCGGTTGCCGCGAGCATTACAGCTCACAACTGCTATTTTCACTGCATTACACTGTGTGTGTTGGTTTGGTGGGCGTTCCTGAGTTTATATCATTACAGCCCAACTACATAAGAAGAAATAAAACTCAGGGGCCCAGGGCCTCAGCGTGGAAAGAGTTTTATTTTCTCTTATTTGTTTTCAACTTACCTCAAGGGAGGTGCAGTCCCCTCGGCTATGCCCCGATCTAGTGCCTATTCTGGACCTCAGAATAGGCTGACTTCGGCGCTAAGCCAGGGTGATCTGAAGATTACCGTGAGGGCTTCCCCACCGAGGCAATCTTCGTGGGCCCCTCAGGCCTCACAAACGCTGTCATCGCTAGAGCCTCCAAAAGAGCCTGCTGGCTTACGTGGAATCCTCCACCACGTCCCAAACCTTCTCGGTTGGATGATTGGTTTCTCTGGTCTTCTCAGCTCACCGCCCTGGTGCCATTTATTCCTGAAGGTGCATGAGGAGCTCACTAGGATGTGAACGGCACCGTATAGTGCCAGAAGCCATCCTAGTGGCTCCTCCCTCTTCACCACCCTCGATGGCAGAGTGGCTAAGGGGTATGTGGATGTCCCGTCGGTGGAGCATTCTGTTGCAACGCTACTATGTTCAGCGTCCGCTTCCTCCTAGTGTGACAATCCATGCCTCCCATCCAAGGCATGTAAGTTTCCATCCAGTCTCACAACAAAGGCTTACAGAGCCTGTAGACAGGCTGCTTCCACCCTCCATGCCAGGCCCAGGCGCCCATGGTCATGCACGAGGGTGGCTCTGACCCAGAGCACCTCCGGTAGCTTTGTGCGGCAACTGACCTGACTAAGGAAACCGCACGTTCCGTTGGTCAGGCGATGTCCACCTTGGTGGTCCAGGAGCACTACCTTTGGCTTAAGCTGGCGGGTATGAGGGACACTATAGGCTATGTGCACAACCTTAGTTTCGACTTTCGAACTTCCGCTTTTGTCAGAAGTCGGCATATCAGTTTCCGTTCTACGACTGGTCATCCGCATCCACTAATAAACAAACAAGATGAGTGCTGCTGTTGTACGAAAAAAAGAGTTCTTAAACACATCTAAGTTTCTTAGAACTGTAGTGGATCTAATGTCCGTTTCACACCCGTTTGCAGTGTGTGTTGCGGTGCAGGAGCATGCTTTTAGTGCGTTCACATATTATGATGCGTTTGCACAGTGAATAACTGATCCGCGGCTGTACAACAAACACATACTTAATATTTTTATAATTTTTTGCGCGTTGATCAAAATGTCTATTTTGTGCAGCCACTGCGCACGAAGGTTGGTGTTTATCAGGAAGCAGTAGAAGCTCAAATGGCTGTTAGCGACTTGAAGCAGAGCAAAGTGCCACACAGCAGTCTCCTAGGCACCATGTAAACAGGTTAGGGCTTTCACTTTTCACTGATGTGGTATATAACAGCAGCACAGCGATCGTTTCCACGCCGAATATACTACTGCTGTGCTGCAAACGCTGGTGGTAAAAATGATAAAGATTGACCTGAAAATGTAGTAATTTCACTATAAATGCGTTTAATTAAATAAAATGTAGTAAATCTCACCATAAATGCACATTTAATAAAGGAAAACTATAATTTACTTCAACCAGGCGACAGAATGAACAACACTCGTCTCAATCGTGGAGGTGGAAAAATAAGTTATTTGTGACATGCAAGATCTATTGTTTTAAAATTAAAATGCAAAAGAAAAGGCAAGTCGGCTGCTTTTGTCAATTTCAAGTTTTAATTTAAATTATTTGCGATTTTAATATAGGAAATATTTGACTACTTGCTTGAGCAACTTGTAATTCATGGAGTAATAGCCCTAACTTACATTGTTTAAATTGTGTTTAAACGTGCATACAAAGAATCGCAATTCTTTTTGTTTTTAAAAATAAGTTGCAGCATAACTTCTGGACTTTAAATAAAAATATTAAGTATGTATTTGTTGTACAGCCACGGATCAGTTATTCACTGTGCAAACGCATCATAATATGTGAACGCACTAAAAGCATGCTCCTGCACCGCAACACACACTGCAAACGGGTGTGAAACGGACATTAGATCCACTACAGTTCTAAGAAACTTAGATGTGTTTAAGAACTCTTTTTTTCGTACAACAGCAGCACTCATCTTGTTTGTTTATTAGTGGATGTGGATGACCAGTCGTAGACCGGAAACTGATATGCCGACTTCTGACAAAAGCGGAAGTTCGAAACTACGGTTGTGCTCATACATATTACATATCGATTTCTGGATGCCCCTCTTCCAAGGTTGTTATACGGCGACGCGGTCGAGAGCTTTGCCTGGCAGGTCTCGGTCGCCATGAAGCAGGAATCCTGTCCCGGCGGACCGCTGCTGCTCCCACCCATCTCCAAGGTCGACCTCCTGCGTCGTCCTCCTCTACCGCCTAGCAACCACCGCAGCCATCACCCAGGCCTCTGCAAGCTGCAGGAAGCTGCAGGAATCAGGAGGCAAGCGGAGGTGCAAATGACCCTGAGATGGGTGACCCAGAGTTGGATCAGACTGCTCTTCAGGAGTTGGAAGCTGTTCGTTAAGTGGTGTTCTTCCCACCAGGAGAACCCCCGAACTTGGTCAATTAGAGCTGTGCTTTCCTTTCTGCAAGATGGGTTAGAGTGAAGGATGTCTCCCTCCACCCTTAAAGTGTATATTGCTTCTATTGGCACAAATCATGATGCAGTTGAGGGTAAGTCTCTGGGAAAGCACGACCTGGTCGTCAGGTTCCTGAGGGGGGCGAGGAGAATAAATCCACTCTATACCCTCTTGGGATTTGTCTCTGGTCCTTTCGGCACTTCAGAGACCACCCTTTGCAATAAGCTGAGTTAAAAATTCTGTCCTGTAAAACAGTACTCCTGGTTGCATTAACCTCTCTCAAGAGAGTAGGGGACCTGCATGCATTTTTCGGTCAACGACTCGTGCCTAGAATTCGGCCCGGCTAACTCTCACATGATCCTGAGACCTTAGCCCGGATACGTGACCAAAGTTTCTACCACTCCCCTCCAGGACCAGGTAGTGAACCTGCAAGCGCTGCCTTCGGAGGAGGCAGACCCAGTCCTGGCTTTTCTCTGTCCCTTTCACGTTCTGCCTTAATAAGTTGACAGAACGCAAAGCCTCAGGACCTCAGATCAGCTCTTTGTCTGTTACGGAGGCCAGCAGAAGGGAAAGGCTGTCTCCAAGCAGAGAATGGCCCACTGGATAGTGGAATCCATCGCCTTGGGTGCCCTGCCCACCCAGGTTGAGAGCCCACTCCACTAGAAGTGTCGCTTCTTCGGCACTGGCACACGGAGCCTCACTGACAGATATCTGTAGAGCTGCGGGCTGGGTGAAACCTAACACGTTTGCTAGGTTTATAGCCTACGTGTTGAGCCGGTTTCTTCCTGTGTGCTCGCTTCAACCAGCTGGTAACACCGAAGTTCTTGCTTGCTGCGCCACTCCCCTCCACATGTAGTGAATACGTGCGCTTTTTTGCTCAAGTCGAGTTCCCCACTTAGGCGAATGCTGTTGATTCCCTTCACACCCCTTCAGCAGTCAGACATTGCGGAGCATCTGACACCAGTCCTAGTGCTCGTATGCTTGTGTAACTTGTGCTAGGCTGGGTTCCATATGTGGTGATCTCTGCAGAAATCCCATATGCATTTTCTTCCACGACCAGCTGCCTGTGGTGTGCCCGTGTCTTTCCCTTGGCAGAGCCCGCTCTGCCGTCACTGTCCGCTGTTGCCTCCCCCTTCTCAGGCTGGAGCCACCCCAGTGACATTCCATATGTTGCACTGCCGCTAACCAGCCAGTCCATATGTGTATTCTCCACGTTACCTCCCTTCGGGCAGGATGTGGCTTCCGCAGCGTCCTTCACCCCTAGAAAAGGCACGCTTTCCAAGTGTTATCCAAGAGTTCCACTGTTTGGGTTATAACGGAACAGCAGTTAAACTTGCTCTATGCAGGTTTTCCGCCTCAGTCAATTGGTGGTCTGAGAGTCTTTGCGTAGGGCGCTGGATGTGGAAGCAACCGTGATGTTTTCAATAGGGATCCCGATTACATTGTCACGTCAACATAACGATAAAGCAAAAATTAAATCAAGTATGTCTAAACGTTTGATTTGTTCTAGTGTATAATCTGTGAAATGTGGCTTACTATGAAAATGTATGTGTAAATATATTCAATATTGAATGTACTTGAATTAACCAAACTGGTCTTTCCTTTTAATCTTCTTCATCAGCTGGTGATACGTGTACACATGTCAGATGAGAGTTCAAAGACCATGATGGTGGACGAGAGGCAGATAGTCAGGCAGGTGCTGGATAGTCTGCTGGATAAATCTCACTGCGGTTACAGTCCAGACTGGGCCCTGGTTGAGACCATCCCTGAGCTGCAGATGGGTGAGGATGCTTGCACATGCTTGGATGACCTGTGAACCTGAGGGACAATATATAGATTATGATATACTTTATAATTCTCACTCCCTCTTACTTTGTCTTTTCCTCAGAGAGAATTTTTGAAGACCATGAGAACCTTGTGGAGAACTTGCTCAACTGGACCAGAGACAGTCAGAACAAACTCATGTTTATTGAGCGGATTGAAAAGTATGCACTTTTCAAAAACCCACAGGTGAAGCTCTATTGTTTGTTACATATATGCTGAAAACGTATATGATTAAACATATCTGATTAAACATTAGGCATTCTTTTTCAAACATAAATAACTCTTACCAAACCTTGGCTTTTAAACAGTAGTGTATGCACATATTATTAGATAAAGTTAGGCAGGGTAGGCAGTTTGTTTCTAAAACATTTTTTTCCCCCAAATTTGATTGAACTGTCTGTATATACCAATACATATCTAAAATGTAAGTACTCTGAAAAGGAGAGTATAAAAATCGAGTGTCTGTAGTCCTCTCAGGGCTGCAATAAACACAGCTACTCTTTCCAATCAGAACGAATGCAATGATTGGCTTGGCGACTGTCGCTCTCCCTCATTACCATGGCTACCACCCCTGCTGCTACAGGATGCGTGTACCCGGTTAACTCGCTCATTTTGAAAGAGGAGAGGCACATACAGGCCGAAAGCTAGGAAGTCTCACAATTATGGCAGAAAAAGAGCAGTCAAAATTATACTGAAATATTATTAAATTATAATTATTCAGAAATTTTGCTCTTCTCTCTTTGAAAGTACGAAAGTGATCAATTACTCTCTCATTGAAAGCAGTCATATTCCTGACTAGTTCCCTCTCCATGGAAAGCATAGCCAGTGCATTCAGACGTTCCTGTCCCATTACATTTATCAGGAATGTCTTGATTCGCTTTAAGGTTGAGAAACACCTCTGCATATCGGTGACACCTGTAGTTGTCCATGCGATGTCCGTCCCCAGTTCTCGGGATGGAAAAGAATGCAGGGGTAGCAGAATAAAGCATTAGCTACTTCGCAACCTGCTAGCCATTTTATCCGCTCACACCAGTTCCTCGAGAATCCTCTATTATATGATTTCCCGCCCTTTGTAGATACTTGTTTTATTTTTAAATTTGGTCTTGGTGGTCCTAACTCTTTAACTGACAATTTATCCTGATTACTACGACGGCTGAGTGGAATTTCTTTTAATGACACGATAGAATTAACTGCCTTCGCCATAACGTTTGTTATGTTCAACTGGCCCAAGTTCAACTGGCCTCAACTCGCGAGATGTCCCAATAGTCTCTCTTGCTCTCGTTCTTTTTTATTTTTATTTTTTTTAATCATATTTGATACAGATATTAAAGTAGTGTTTCATTTTTCTTGTTCAAATTCAAAATTGTTTTCAAAAATTATCTGTCACTTAATCTTAAATATTTTTAAATAGTATATGTTTGTTCCCACCAATCGCTGCACAAGTTAAGGATACGCATGATTACGTAAGCACGTTAGTGCGAGCCCTCCCGGAACCCATAGAGAATGCATTGCAGTGCCTGCAGTTCGAAAGAAAAAAAAACATTGTTGAAAGTAAGTCTATGGGATCACTGTGGCCGATTCTCAGCCAGAATGAAATTGGCCAAAAAGAGGCGGCACTCCACAGAACGTGACATGACGCTGATTGGACTATATCCAGACAGTGACGGCTAGCGTAACTCTGTGGTTGAATGTGATTGAAAAAGTCCCTTTTACACTTTAGTGGTGCATCGCCCTATCGCCCTAATGAAGAAACCGCCTCTGCCTGCATATACAGTCAGTGCAGGCAAACAAGGCAAAAAAAAAGGTGATGTCACTCCATGCACTGCGCTCCTCTCTGCTCGACGCTGGTAAACGCGCCCTCCAGCTTAGCAGTCGGCATCGCACGTTCATGTGTTTTGGGTTCATGTGCGTGGCTTTGGTAGGAGCCCAGAAGGGAGAGGGTGGGAGTTTCTATGTTGGATACTTTCAAAATCCAAATCTGCTAGTTTCTCAAACTTGCCTACCCTGCCTTTAAAGTAATAGTAATGAGTTATGATTTTTTTTTTTGTGTGTGTGTGTACTGGAGCTTTAATATTCCGTCACCCTGATTCAATTGTTGCATGTTGTGTTTCTAAGAACTATTTACTTGGGAGGAAGGAGACCTCTGAGATGGCAGACAGAAACAAGGAGGCACTGCTGGAGGTGAAACATACATTATAACACAACTGCATAATATGGCTAAAAATGTAGTTATAATGCAGCTGCTTTGTACAAAACATCAGATTTTAATATTTTTTTCCTTGTTTAACATGCAAATGAGTACATACACATGCAATTAGTGAATGTGACCCAAAGCCTTCATCACCGTGATGTTAATTTGGAAGTGACTGATAATTGTGATGGCTGACAGAGTTTATATCAGTCTAAATCTATCAAGATACATTTTTTTAGAATGCTTACTGGTGTTTTTGTATCTGTATGTCTTTAAGGAATGTTTTTGTGGAAGCTCAGTGTCTGTTCCTGAAATTGAGGGAGTGCTATGGTTGAAGGAGGATGGTAAAAAGTCTTGGAAGAAGCGTTACTTTCTGCTGAGGGCATCTGGGATCTATTTTGTGCCTAAGGGCAAAGCCAAGGTCAGTGTTATTGTGTGTGTCTATTTGGTGTCATGTTATCTTTAAATGGACATAGAACCTAATGAACTCTTGAGTGGAATTTCCTGTTTATGGATTCACTGAGGATACTCTACACAAACCATATGTTGTTTGTCATCCACTTTGACATCAACCCCCATGTCTTATTTTGTTATATAATTTTAAGTTGAAAATATTAGTTATTCATTACTTGATCAAATCTATTACAAGCATACAAACGAAACATGGGTTTTGTGTCGGTATCAAATTCTGTTAACGACATTTGCCAGTTAAGATTTGTCCCTGGATATTTGATTCTGCTTTGTTGTATCTGCACTTTATAGTATTGTTTTTCTAAATGTTTGCTTTTATCATCTCAATTTCCTACTGTAAATAAATTAACAACAGATGGTAATAAATATAAAACAATATTAATGTTTATTTTGAACGCTGTAGGCTTCCAGGGATTTGGTGTGCTTCCTGCAGTTGGACCATGTTAATGTTTATTATGGTCAGGACTACCGAAGCAAGTACAAGGCCCCCACTGACTACTGCCTGGCCCTTAAGGTGTGTGTTTATGTGCGTGTGTGATGTTATGGCTTGTTATCCTTAAGCCTGTTTTAATAGGTGTGCGTGTGCTCTTGTTTGTTACCTTTTTCCAAAATTAGATCATACTGATCTCAAACTTTTAAAAAGTAGTGCAATATTTTATTTATTATTATTATTTATCATTATATAATTTCATTATAATGTTCATATAATTATATAATAATCAGCAGGGATGCATTGAATTTACCAGACTTGACAATAAAAACATGTACAGTATATTGTTACAAAAGTTTTCTGTTTCAAATAAATGCTGTTCTTTTGAAATTAATCAAAAAAATGAAATTGAAAAGTGAACATGCTTTCAAAAGTGATTTAAATACCCCGCATACTGACATGACTGACCATGACTGTTAATGGCTGTTAAAAAAAAACTGCATTGCCATCACAGGAATACATTTTAAAATCTATTAAAAATGGAAACCAGTTACTTAAAATTCGTAATAGTATTTCACTGTTTTTATTAGTGAATAAATGCAGCTTTGGTGAGCATAAGCGACTTCTTTCAAAAACATTAAAAAAAATCTGATAGACTCCAAACTTTTGAATGGCAGTGCATCTCAACAAACCTTAGCTAATGAAACAACTCTGTACTCAAACATTTGGTAATTGAGTGATGTCAGATCCCGGAAGTCTAATGGTGCGTTCAAGTCCTCCTAGGAAGTTCGTACTTACGAGGTGGGAACGACGGCAGGTGTGATCAAGTCACTTTCGTTGGAGTAAGATCAGTGGCGGTTCTACTTTGAATTACACACAGGGCGAGACCCCCTTCGGGGCGCCCCCCGAAAAATAAATAAATAAAAATAAAAAAATAAAAACACTTTGCATATTATAGGCTACTGTAAAACACATAATTAAAGTTGATTTTAGTTGATCATTATGAAAATTATTAGATAATATAGTGACCAAAATCATCACATACACAGAATCTTGTTCAAAAAGCCTAATACACAGTGAAATCAATTCACCAAGTTAATAACATTAAAATTTTGTTTTAAAGGAGTGTCTTTTATCTTACCTACAAAACTTTAAAAAAGGTTAACAAAAAAAAAGGTTTTATAAAAAGATAAACCTCATATTTCAGCATTTAAATCATCTCTATAAAAAGAATGAGTCAATAAAGATACATTCCTGATACATTTATAATGCACAGTAGCTTATCTTTTATTAATAATAGTAAAATTCGTACCGATTTTCCCATGGCTGTCGATGTCGTTGCTATAGAACCATGCACTCATTACACTGCGCTCTCCACAACGACAAAGAAGTTTTAGTAGCTAATGTATTTCCACCAGAAAAACGCTTGCTGTAGCTCTGCTAAAAGATTTATTTACAGAGAAGAGAAAAAACACACAAGTGTTTGGGTGCACGTGCACTCCCATACTGAAAAGTTTATGAGCGCGCTCCCCGTGAGTGCATAATGAGCGCGCTTCCCGTGCGCCTTGAATCATAGAGGATTTGAAATAATGACCTCGAGCGTGTGCTTTGCTTTTTTATGTTTTTAATTAATTTATGAACAACTGCAAACTTAAGCCTGACAATATCACTGTTAATAAATACCTTTAAGTATTGTGGTGTTTCTCACTGACACTTCCCCAACTTGTAAAAAACGGGGCTTAAAGAAAATCCCGAGCTTCCCACACGTATTTACCATTGTGGTGGCATTCATGTGCGTTCAACTCATAAATACGATCTTTACGAGATGACTTGGACGCACCAAAATTCACTGCTGGTTCTTTCGAGATTTTCCTATGGGATTTTATAATGGGGTTTTTCAATGTATGAGTAAAAAAAAAAAGAATAAAACATGACACAGACTCACGCCCCAAACTGTCTTATCGAGTTACTTATTAAAAACTCATGTTTTCAAAAATGAACGTAACTGCTTTAGACTTCCACTAGGGGGCCTCAGTGAGCCTCCAGGCCATAAACTCTTGTTGCTGCCCTATAGTGGTTCATAAGTATTAGCAAGCCAAATAAATTGAACAATTGTCCTCTTCATTGTCTTGGTAACATTATTGATTGTGCCCACAGCACCCTCAGATCCAGAAGAAGTCACAATACATAAAATACCTGTGCTGTGATGATGTCAGAACTCTACACCAATGGGTCAATGGGATTCGTATTGCCAAGGTAATACCATGGCTTTTCCTGTCCTTTGTTTTATTAATGAATTTATATAAACCTATGGCCACTCAACGTGCTCTTCTAGTACAAGTTAATAGGCCAAATTATTTATACAACTAACATTCTTCTGTATTTGAAAAATAACTTGTTGCCAGAGCTCACATTAGAAATTTCTTAAGCCTAATCTCTGCCCATTGTGTTTTATGCACAGTATGGGAAGCAATTGTATGTGAACTACCAGGAAGCCATGAAGCGCACTGAAGCTGCCTATGACTGGTCTTCTCTCTCCAGCACCAGCACCAAGTCAGGAACAAGCTCAGTCAGTATACCTGGTGAGTAACTCAAACCTACTTTGAGTTACAATTTCCATTGCCCTTCACATTGCGCAAATTAAATTGCGAATTGAAAATACGGCAATTTCACAAAAAGTCACATACATTGCAAATACGCTTTTATGAGGTGAGTTTTCCAGGCAGTTTGAAAAAGGAATATTTTGCAAAATTGCAATGGAAAATATGTGTATGCGATATATGTAAACCTACAGTACCAACATGCAGTGGTGGAAAGAGTTGGAGAGAGTGGGGCACAACCTAACGCTTTTTGGTTTTGGCTCAATTAATTAAAAAATAATTAGGTTAGATTAATACTTTTTTTACACAAGCAACATACACATCTCTGCTACAAATGAACACTTAAAGTTTTTTTCTAGGACCTACCATTTTCGTACAGTTGGCCTGAAAGTGACAGAAGTGCAAATGTGACAACTTACCCCATATGCGGGGTTAATTGTAACAGACAGAGGGGTTAGTTGTAACACTTGTGTGTAACACACATAATTCAGTAATATTTTATTTGTATAGTTTGATATTGTTTGTGCATCTGTATAGACAGATATCCATACATATCCCTCATCCAATCATCCTTCTATTATGGATCAATATCATGGATAGAGACATAGAAAAGGGCTGCATAGTTTTGCAATAAATAATAATAAATAAAATTATAAATATTGTAATTTCAATTAAATTAGATTTGTGTGTGGCAGCTGCATGATGTACAATTATTATTATTATTATTAATAACAGTAATGATAATACAAATGAGCTTAAAATAAAAATTTAAAGGGTTTATTGCATTAATAACAGGCCATATTTTTAATAAATAAACAAGTTATCATTCATAGTGCACTAAATTTTAAACATTTTAAATCCCAACATTGTTTGTGAAAGTCTAAAAAAGTTAAATGTACACTCAAACCTGAAAAGTTGTGTGGCTCCGTTTTCATTTGATTCTCATTGTACACTTGGAGGCTTAGTTGTAACACTCTGTTAGAATTAACCCCGCTGTGTAATATGTTAACCCTAGCTAACAGTCGCTATAGGAATAGCTGACATGTTTCAAAACGGTGCTATATGTTTGAGCCAACAAGACAGTGATTAAGGCAATATACAGTTAGATTTGGAAAAGTATACACCCAACTCAGAAACCGAAAAAAAAAACTATGATGAAAAAAATTACTTTCATGGTGTCAAAACACTCTTTGTCCAGTATCTTCACGAAATATAATTAAAACTTTCCGCAAATTCGCGGGAGACCGTCTTCTGGCAGCAAGAGAAAAATAGCGGAAAGACGGCCGGTGTTCTGTCGATTTTTGCTGCCTTGTCGAAAAAGGAAATCTCGATGGGTAGCATAAATTGTCAGAACACCTGTTTGATCCTGACGAACTATGTAAACGGTCCGTGTTACATTTAACCCCGCGTTAGGTTGTGCCCCGCGCTCCCCAAAAACGTACTCAAGTAAAAGTACCATTACATTCCAAAAACTGTAGTGTGAGTAGAGTAAAAAGTTCTTGTCCAAAAAACTAGGCTACTTGAGTAAGAGTAAAAAAGTAGCTTATTTAAAAGTACTCATGAGTAGTGAGTACTGAGGTGCGGATTCTACCCCTTATAATAAACACTGTGCAATTTATATTACAATTTATATAAAAAAAATGCACATACTGTAACTCACATTATATTTTGTTCTTTGTAAGAAAGATTGAAGAATATCCATCTTTTTAAAATGCATCAAATCATATTATTTGGGGGGAAAAGCATTTAAAATTAGGCGAAAAGCCACTGAGCCTGAGCATGCTATTGTTGCACATAAAATATCAATATTCATAACTGTGCAAAGAATTCAAAAACCTTTAGAAACTCATATGATAGTTCAGCAGCATCACACACCAAGAGATGGGTTAAAAAGAGAGATTAAAAAATACCCAATTTCTCTCCAAAACGGTACCAATGTTGGTGTTTTGATAAATGAGAATCACTAATATTATCATACTACATCAACTAATGCACTTAAAAAGGCTAAGATAGTGAGCTAACACTAATTACACACTTTAATTCCACGCTATTAAATATGTTACAATTTAAACGTAATGCACATTGTTCTAGAAGGGTGGCACATCATCCTTTACATTTTACACGGCTACATTTACTCACATTGTAATGCTGATAATATAATTTGTAAGGAAAATTGAGCATTAAATAGGGAAGTTATATCCAAGAAACTTTTACAAAAGAAACAAACAAACAAACACACTTTGTCTCTTTGTCTCTGAAGTTTTATCAGCAGCATCTACAAACAAAACAAAAAAAGTTCAACATGAAAAATGTTTTTGCGCATAAGTGCACTTGCCAAATGAAGACGGATCGTATAATGGATCAATCAAAAACGTTGTTTATTAACGAGCTGTGCAGTTCAAGTTAACGACATGGTGCACCAATTCTGAGCGGCATGGCGAGCGCGAGACGCGGCAGTGCACAGATCGTGACGTGCGTCTCTATATAATGTGATTGTGAAGTAAATGGGAGCGGGAATTCACAGCATTATGAACTCGTCGCGCAATTCCCCAACCTCAGACCAAATGTTAGGCCCTGTAGACAGGCCAGCCTATATAAATATCATATTAAGCAGAAATGTGAAATGTACCTTAGCACATTAGAGGAAGACGCTGATATCTGGATTGAATGGGCTTTATGCCCAGCTGCACTACTTCGGGCCAATCCCAATTCTACCCCTTACCCCTTCCCTTTCCCCTAGCCCTACCCCTTCGCCTTCCCCTTGACCCTTGAAACAGAGTGGCAATGCGTAGGGGTGAAAATATTCCCCTAAAGGCCAATTTATACTTCTGCGTAGGGTGCGCGCAGTAGGTACGGCGTAGCATACGCACAGACGCGTCCCATACCGCGTACCCTTCGCCGTCGCCTGACGCGCACCTCCTCAAAAATGTAACTACACGTCGCGACGACGCGGACCGCAAGATCGGTGATTGGTCGGCTTGGTAGCATCGCATTTCCTCCTACGCATTTCCGCACGTACCTTCTCACGCATTTCCACCACTGTCTATGATTTCCACAAGTTTCATCTCCTCCGAAGTCTTCTCTCATTTCTGCCTTTCAGTTTTAGTAATTTTACTAAAGTGAACTGTTTTTCCACCTTAATAAGCTCCAATTCCAACATGATCAGCTCTCTTTCACTCGTAGTAACCTAGCTGCGAGGAATCTAAACACAGTGGAACATTAAAACTCTCCGCCGCCAACTAGCGTTTCGGAGCAGTACTGCAGAGCAACCAAGACCTGAACGCAGAAGTATAAATGCTCACAACGGCGTCGCCTACGTGCGTAGCCAACGCCGTACACTACGGCGTACCCTCGACGCAGAAGTATAAATTGGCCTTAAGAAATGGGACACCACTACGCCTCCGTTAAACGTCATTATAAGTCGTCGCTAGCGCCTACGTCACAGGAGATGCGCCGATGTTTATCACAACTTCCAAGATCCCGTCGACAGCTGCAGTTATCTCAGTCGCGTGGGTTACAGCTATTTTCTTGCATCTTGTGAAGTTCGCAGGAAACAACGGAGACGACGAAAATATGTTGCGGGACTATCGTTAGCAAACTACAGTAATTTTAGCGATTTTTTTTTTTTTACAAACGTTTCTGTGAAGAAACTGACCGTAAATATGAACACAATATTGAATGTAACATAAAGCAAATCATTATTTGTCGTTATAATACTTATTAAAGCCACAAATACTTAAATTTATGGGTCTCCTTTGTCGCTTGGGCAGCCAGCCTGGGTTAGCAGTGACACTTCTCATACCCCTTCGTTTGAAGTGTGCTCCCGAAAAATCTTCGTTTGAAGGGCTATCTGGCCCTTCACCCTAGCCCTCCCCCTCCAACCAAAAGAGAATTGGGACAGCCCTACCCCTTCACGTGGACGCGCAAAACGGAGGGGAAGGGGAAAGTGAAGGGGTAAGGGGTAGAATTGGGATTGGCCCTTCCTGAACTTCAGCCAGCTCCTTGTTTCCTGTCTGCCATTATTGGCCAAATTGATTAATTCAGGTGTGTCTGATTATTGTTGCCATGACTACTGAGGTCAGGTACACCTGAATTAATCAATTTGGCCAATAATGGCAGACAGGAAACAAGGAGCTGGCTAAAGTTCAGGAAGTAGTGCAGCTGGGCATAAAGCCCATTGATGCGTGAAGAATGCACTTCCACAGCAGTCACGAGTAACAGGAATAGGCGGTTAAAGTTTTCTATGCTTAATTTGAATTGATGACAGTCACGAGACCGATGACTCGATCCAATCACGTTGATGGATAAAAATAAAATAAAATTAAAACAAGCATGTAACGAGTAGCCTAATGACCACAAACAAATGGAAAATAGCGGAGAAAAAGTACCGATCCATCACTTAAAATGTACTCAAGTAAAAGTAAAATTACACAATTTTAAACTTACTCAAAAAAGTACAATTTCTGAAAAAAACTACTTAATTACAGTAATGTGAGTATTTGTAATTCGTTACTTTACACCCCTGCCAACATGCGTTACCATGATGTTTGGAAATGACTTATCACCAGAGGAAAAAATTGTTTTAGTCGCATAACAGTGGTTAATGAAAATGTCATAATTTCGCAATAGTTTTTTATCGACATTTCGGAAATATCGCGAAATTCTTGCGCAATTCTTTAATCGAAACCAGGCTACTGACTTATCCTTTATACACTTTTTTCATGTTTTTCTACTGAAATTTCTAGAAATATAAACATTGGCAGTTCTGGAGAATATCCTTTTTAATGGAATATTAGTGATTTTACTGATTTGCATTACTGTAAGTGTATGGGTTATTGTTAATATTTAATCTGTTTTTGCTTAAAGAGTCGCAGTCAAATCACTCTAGCCAGACAGACAGTGGTATGTCCGATGGCACTTCATCCTCCCATGCCCGCTCCCAGAGTGTGGTCAGTTCAATCTTCTCTGAGGCCTGGAAGAGAGGGACTCAGATAGAGGAGAGCACAAAGGTGAGTTCTTCTTTCTCTATTTGTTCTGGAGAGATACATCTTTGCTCTTTACCTGCCACTTTCTTCAATTAATCTCTTGATAAAACACCAAGATGAACCAATTATTTAAAGGAAAATTTGACACAAATGTGAAAATTCCATCATTATTTGCTCACCTTCATGTCCTAAACCTGTGTGACTTTCTTTCTTTTGTGGAACACAAAAGGATTCTGTTGACTGTGCTGGTCACTTTTCTCCATGCAGTTGCAATAAATTATGTAATAATTGATGCAATTATGTATTCAATGATATCGAACCCTTATAGCTTTGTATGAGAAACTAAGGTTTTCAGTCAGTTGCATCTTAAATTCTGGTCTTTTTCACACAGTGTTCCTGTGTGGTTTAAGAAGAATTGGAATATACTGTAGTTCATATAGTTCAAGTTGTATGGACCACTCTTGTGGTCATTATTTAATCTTCATATTTTTAGTTTTCATTCTTTTTTGAACTGCATGAAAAATCTTAAATTTCTCCATTTGTGTTCCAAAGAAGAAAAAGTCATTCAGGGTTGTAACAACATGAAATTAGGTGCTGAAACATGTAGTGAATTTAACATTTTTGAGTGACTATTCTTGTGTGCTAGTGGTTTTCAACCCCATTGTAGAAGCCCCCCAAACATTTTCAAATATCTCCTTTTTATGACACCCAATTCAGGTTTTAGAGTCTATACCACTGAGCTGATGACCTGAATTAAGTGTATTTGGATAAGGAGATATACAAATATAAGATATAACACATTATCGATTTTTGTTTATTTGATGTTTTTTTGTTTTGTTTTTGGTTCAGGCAAGACCAGAATCAATTCGTTCTACCCATTCAAGCCATAGCACCCATTCTTCTCATCATGTGGCCCAACAGCAGCATCCACACCTACAGCAACAGCCAAATGCACATTCAAATCCACAGTCACAAGGAAGTGTCCACCAAGCTCCAACACAGACACCACTCCAAACATCTCCAGCCCCGCCACCCCCTCCTCCTCCTCCTCCACCTCCCCCACAACCTCCTATTTCCAGTATCCCCCACCATGCTACTCCTACCATGTTTGCCAAATACAGCACTATCACTCGTCTGCAGAATGCTTCTCAGGCTGTAAGTCACCAAAAACCTCACCCTCATATCCAGCAGCAAGTGCCACCAGTCCCTCCAGTATTCAAACCACAATCAAACAATATTCCACCAGGGGCAAATATCCCACCTCCTCCTCCTCCACCTCCACCTGCCCCAATGCCTCCACCGGGATCAGCCATGGCTGTTTTGAAGCTTGGTCCACCAGCCCCAGCAGCAGTTTTACAGTCATCCCCTCTGCCCCCCTCACCACCACCACCACCACCTCCTCCTCCTCCCATAATCCCCATGCAGTCACAACCTCTACCACCACCTCTTCTCATTAAACCTACGCAGTCACAGCCTCTACCACCTCCTCCTCCCATAATGCCCATGCAGTCACAACCTCTACCACCTCATCCTCTCTTAAAACCTACGCAGTCACAGCTTCTACCACCACCACCACCTCCTCCTCTAATGCCCATGCAGTCACAACCATTACCACCTCCTCCACCCATAGTGCCATTCCAATCACACCCTTTACCACCTCCTCCACCCCCTCTCCAGGCTAATGGCCTTCCCCCTCCTCCACCACTCTCTACAGTCCAGGCACCTTTCAAAGTCAATGGACTCAAGCAGGTTCTTGCTCAAAAATTTTCCAATGTACCCCAGGACATATTTCCCCCAGCCAATCAGACCCCCTTTCCCCCACCACCTGCACCTACACTCCCTCCTCAACAGCATGTTGTTCCAGCTCCAAATCCACCACCTCCACCATCCCCAACACAGCTTCCAATTCAAACAGCAATTTTACCAAAATCTTTCACTGGTGGATTTCTAACCCAAACAGCACCCAAAACTTCCCATGGCATTTTTCCAGTATCCCCAGTAGCTCCATCACCTCAAGTTCCAGTGCCGCCACCTCCTCCTCCTCCTCCTCCTCCCCCTCCACCTCCAGCACCATTGAAGAACCAACCCCCACCAACACTACCTAAGCAGCACAGCATCTCTAAGACACTGCCCCTTACCAGCCAAACCTCATCAGTGCCATCCCTGGTTAAACAGATTGCTAGCCAGTTTCCTCTTGCATCTCCTGCAGTGGCCAATCAAGCGGAGAGCCACAAAGCTCCCCAGTCCCCACCTGCAGTGAAGGCTAAACCAAAATGGCAGCCTGTAGGTCAAGCCCAGCAGCAACAGCGGTCACCTGAGTTTCCACCACCTCCACCAGAGAATACCCTTGCTTTTCCTTCTCCACCACCACCTCCTCTTGCTCCAGGTCCCAACACTCCTCTACCCCCTCCTCCTCCTCTGATATCAGGCCCTCCCCCTCCTCCTCCCCCTCCTCTTCTGATGTCAGGCCCTGCCCCTCCTCCTCCAATGTCTGGCCCTCCTCCTCCACCTCTGATGTCAGGCCCTACCCCTCCCCCTCCACCTCTGATGTCAGGCCCTACCCCTCCCCCTCCTCCTCCGATGTCAGGCCCTACCCCTCCCCCTCCTCCTCCGATGTCAGGCCCTACCCCTCCTCCACCGCCCCCTCCTCCTCCTCCGATGTCAGGCCCTACCCCTCCCCCTCCTCCTCCAATGTCAGGCCCTCTTCCACCTGCTCCTCCTCCTCCTCCTCTGATGTCAGGCTCTCCTATCAGAAAGTCCTCCTCTGGTTCAGCTGCAGGTGTCAAGAAACCTCCACCGACTCCTCAACGCAACCATTACCAGGAGTCCTGCAGAAACTTGGTGAGCAAGTTTAACCCTAGTTCTGCTTCTTTATCAACCTCCAGCATCTCACACTCCAAAGAGCTTTCTACAGGTCCACGCACACCCCCCAAACCAGGGAAGCTCAATCTGGCAAATCTTCCTTTGGCTTTGCAGACCAAATTTAATCAGAACCGCCAATCAACTGCAGACTTCCCATCTCCTCCACCCCAAGAGAATGAATTCTTCCCTCCTCCCCCACTGGAATCTGACCTCCCTCCACCACCGCCCCTTCCAGGTGATCCAAATGGTGTGTCTCCAAAAATAGCTGTGGTCAATCCACAACCCCAGCCTGCCTGGGGAAAGAGTTCCCTGAAGAAGTCGCAACCTCCAGCATCACTTCGCTGTAACAACTCGATTAGAGAGTCTCCACCCCTCTCACCACCTTCTATACAAGCGGGCCCTATTCGGCCATCTTCTCCCAAAGGCACCACGCAACCCAACTTCTTGCAGGACCTAAACAAGACACTGAAACGCAAGTCTTCGCGAGTCTTGGGAGACAAAGTGGACCCTGTGGCCACAATGGATGACATGGCTTTGCCACCACCTCCCCCTGAAGTTCTGCATGACCAACAGAGGCACAGTGGGAGTGGCTTCATGTCCGGGAATATCTCAGGCTATGCAACACTACGGAGAGGGCCGCCTCCAGCCCCACCCAAGCGGGACCACAGCACCAAACTAACAAACTGATACAACTTCAACTTTTCTTGGACTCTCTTTCTTGCTAATTTCATATCTGTCATAGTTGTAGAGGGGAAGCCATCATTTTGTTGATTATGCTCAGCTTGTTCTGTACAAAACGACTCTGTAAAGCTGAAACTTCTTGTGACTTTGTGACAATGCATCAGTTTCAGTTTCAAACAACTAAGTGATTCCACTTCAACACCTTGATACTGCATGGAAGACAAAACTGCATAATATAAAATAATCTTATTGATTTTTGGGAAGACAAATGTTTTCAACTTTGGGGTTGGGTGGGATTTTTAATTTTGAGTTTATATTCTTTTTATATTATTATTTAATAATCTGAAGAGATTTTGTTATTTTACACTGCATTTTTTAAAATAATTGTATAGCTATTTTTGTTTGAGGATTATTAGATGTATAGGTCGATGTAGACTGTGTGGTTGGTTGATATATTAGTTCGGCACGACGTTTACCAATTGTATGGCAGATCCAGTGCTCAGTGGATACATCTAGCATCTATTCTGATCACTATTATTCTTTGAGCCACTTTAAGTGCATTTTAAATGTAATTGTCAAAATTGTAACATGAAGGAGGAGTTGTTCAGGGAGTTGCCTCAATGTCTAGTTTTGTGAGACTGTGGAATGTTTGCTTTTTTTTTTAATGAGACCTGTTTTAAAATGTTGATATTCTCACTTGCTGCAGTATCTTTGTCTAGGTAAAACAAATGACTGCCTTGCTGTTCCTTGTTAGACCTTACTTCCTCTGGTGAACGTTCAAGCTGACTTTTACAAATTGTTCACCTATGAAGAGATGGACTTTTAAGTCATGTGACTGAATGACACAATCATTATTCACATAGTTTTATCTTATATCCTGTATTATAACCTGTATTATTGGGTCATGAATACAGCCATGCCTTAAAAGTTTCTATAACATGTGTATCAAACAACCTATCAAAATATTATCACCTTACAAGAAAAGACCATTTTATTACATAAAAGTTACATTTTCCTGTTGATTTGATCAAAGGATTCTGGCTGATTTTCCCCATTCAGACATTATATGCAGCTTCAGAATCTTACACTACCAATCTATAATGGTTTTTATAAGAGCCACATGGCATATGTTCAAACTAGTATGCATATTATCTCATGTCCACATTTCTTTTTGAAGAATTTGTTTATTGAATGTATTTACAATATCATGAAACTTTTCAGGCTGTTGAGAAGTGACTAAATTAAGTTAATATTAAATTATTATAGTATCCGGTCTTGATCCATTTAAGGTCTATGAACATCATGCTCTGCATATCTCTTTGCAAAATGTGTAATTTAAAATGAAATTATACATATTGATATCCATGTTTCTCTTCTTTTCTTTGGGTTTCCTGGGGAGGTTGATGTCAGCAGGTATCTATTCCCATTATATGGGTAGCCAGTGGCAAAATCCCTAGTACAGTAGTCTTTTCATTTAGCTTTATATTAGTAGCACCTTAATATTTGTATGAAGAATTTTCTTGTGATTTTATTCTGCGGGTCAGTGATATGGCAGGTGATTGCTGAAATGGTCGGCGCGAACATGGTTGGTTTCTGTGTTGTCGTGATGGCCAGCATGAATTGGTGGAGACACATTAATGCTTGGTGATAAAGTTGAATGTGTGCGGTCTACAAATATGACAAGAGCATTATAAACATGGTCACAATAAACCAAATATAAAAGTGTAAAAAAAAAAAAGATTACATAAGTGTGTTTACCTCTAGTCCCAAAATGATTTAAATCGTAGTATAATCCTAGTCTCCCCTGTTGGTAGAAAGAAGTCATCATCAAATCATTTCACATCACCCATCTCGGCTTTCTTCAACTTCTAACTTCAGGTTAATCAAATTATTTTATTAATTGATCAGTTATTCAGTCATGGATTTATCAAAATGTTATATAAATAATATATAATAATATTAATATTCAAAAATATTGAACTATCCTAGACAGTTTACATGCTTCTGCACAAGTCAATTAATAGTTTTTGTCAAGTTACATTTACTGATGCAAATCATTCTGGCCATTCCTGCTTGTTGTCAGTCACAACTTTCATTAAGTCTCTCTATACCTCACATTAGGTGACATTAGTTCAACCTTGCATTATATAAGATCAAAATAGCTCAGAAAAAATCTTTAAAAAAAAAAAACCACCTTGCCCTTGATGATGAACGGTGTGCTATTATTGTTTTCAGTCATGTGCAACCTGTACATATCTAAAAAAAAAAGTGTTTTGGGGTTTCATAGCCCTTTAAAATTCAGCTTACACTGTATCTACTAATGATACTGTTTACAAGTCCATGGTGAACCACTTTATGTTCACACTCACCTCCTCACTGGACTCTGAGCTCGAGCTGTCTGCCTTTGTGCATCTGAGAGAGATGATGCGACTGAGCTCCTGAGTCACTCGTGCTCTGATATAGCACCCTGCCTCAGACTAAATGGGAATGAACAGAAATCAAATAAGATAAAAATAAAAAAAAAAAAAATCCATTATACTGCTATTACAAACCATTATACAAAGTCATTTCAGTCACTACAGATCATTACTTGTTTTTAAAAAAAGATTAATGACATCCAACTTTTAAATGATAGGGAATAGGGAAATATATAAATAATAGGGAAAATATATAAATATAGTGTACATAGGTCATAGCTCTTTCACCATTTTCTATAAAATAATTAAATTTGTACATTAGATAAAAATATAAGCGCTATTTCATTCCCTTTCAATTTTTTGTGGTTTCTAGATAATGTGTATTGTGTGTGTGTTTATAATGGGTAAATTTATATTGAAAATTACAACCACTCACAAATTATTTACATATTGCATCCTACCACAATTTAAGTTTAGCCACTGAATTGGAATCAAAAAGGAGTGGGGTGTGCCCAAATCAGCTCCCTAGTTCTGTAGTCAGGGCACTTATCAGGGAGTCAGACATTTTGCAGTGCACTGAAACCTTTGCTCCCTAAATAGTCCCACCATTCAAAAGGAAAAGTCCACAATTCCCTTAACGGACGTTCTAGAGTCATGTTGCCGGAAATAGTAATCAGTGTCCAAATGTGTAGTGAGACAGGATCCTTACTGCTGTGCCCCAAATCATGTACACGATATACACTGATTCATAGGCGAGAGATTAAATTGCCTCTGTCAATTCAGTTTGAATGGTGCACAGCCCTTGTACAATTGCACTGAGATTACTACACCATTAGATACACCAGCTTTTCTGTCACACTATAAAGATACAAATAAGGGCACAAACTGCCTTCAAGTTTTATAAACACCAGTTATCTATAAGCCAACCCAGACCTTAATCATGTCAATCATCAAGTCCTTAAGATAACTTGCCACAAAAAAACCTTTGCGGTACATGCAGCCCTGAGGGTCGGCTGCAGAGGTCTTCTGGCACTCTGTCTCCCTAATGCCAAACCTCAGATGCAGATCATATGTGTCCATCCCCAGAGGAACAATCTTAAAATGAATAAAAGCAAATGATCAACAGTTAGTTACCAAAGTACAATCACTGACAATATGAAAGCTAGTATTTACTGCTAATGATATTGGCCTAGCTTTTTTAACTATTCATTTTACTTCTCTTACCATACCTCCATCTTAGGGCTTTTCACACATGCTTAACCCTGGGTTATTGTCGTTCTAACCCACACTTTTAAAGTCACAAACAATAAGTAAATGTACTTCAAGGCAAAAAATTTTCAAGGCAAGTTTTTTGCACTGATATTTTTGAGTAAATTTCATAGACGAATCCAACGAGCGTTCTGTGTAGGCTGCCTTCTTGTGGCGACGCCATTACTGAGCTGTTACACCGGCATAGACATTATGCACCGGTATGTAAAGAAACCTCGGCACCCTCGATGACAGCTACAGCCAGGCAGAATGACTTGTTGGGTTGATGATGTTAGACAGTGGCCTCCAGTCACAGATGAAGGTACAAACGATCTTACACATTATTTATGAAAATAGCTTGGCAAGCTAGGCTAACGTTTGCTAACTAGGAAACTATAAAAAGATCTGTCCATTTGGCAACAATAAATAAATAAATAAATAAATTAATTAATGAAATCAAATAAACAAATTCATGTTTTTCATTTGTGTCCATTATTTATCTCACTTTCACATTGCAACGGGCAAGGGTAAGGTAGCGTTACAACTAGAAAGTAATATCGGCCAATTAGTGTTTTTAAACCATGGAAAGAGGTCAATATAACAGCAGGAGAACAATTATGTCACATAACGTTACATTTAGCTCAGGAAAGCCATTTAATGATCGTAGCATGTTAATTGAATAGAAAAAATAGCAAGAGAGGAGATTTTGCTGATCACTATATCACATTTTTTTTTTTTTTTTTTTTTACTTATGTCATTAAATAATTGTTATTATACGCGAATGTCCGCGTCTTGTACTCGCCCAGGAATCTGTGTAAACCGTATGGCACCAGACAGGGGCAGTCGACCGGAGTATTCACAATGTTTTCTGTTCAAAATTGAAATTTTACTGCCACCATTGAAACAATTTATAACGGAAACTATTTACCCACTCGACATTATACAAGGGGTAACGTTAGTGACAGTCGTAAATCGCGGGCTGTTTATTCCAGTGGACGCAAGTTGCAACTGTATGGCGCCCGCTTACTTCCGGTAGTTTCGCCGGATTCGTCTATAATTAAGTAAACTATACTTAACTAAGTTAAGTGAAAGTAACATAAGAAATTAAGTCATTTTTATTTAATTAATTAAAGATTAAAATATCTGTTCTATTTAATTGAATTATTCCTAGAACAACATTTCACTCAAACAATATAGCTAACATTAAATTAGACCGCACTTTTTAAGTATATGATTTACTCAGAATTGTTTAAGTAATCAATACTTGCAGTGTGTGTCATCTCGTCTTCTCTTTTGATATGGAATGTGTGAACGCGGACCTCAGTACTTGGTAGACAATACACAATGACGGTAATATTTGATAGATCGTTTTTGTGTTTGAATGTATCATTTGAGTAGAAAATGAGTCACAAAATGGCAAATTACTAATCCTAACAACAAAAGTAATGATAAAATACAGCTGGAAAACAGCGAAAATCAACCTCATCATTCATGGCCCAGTGCATGATGGGAACACCAGTATCAGAAAAGTTGAGTAATTTTACTTAATTTTATAATGTTAATATTTACGCTTTCATTTCTACACGATTGAATTGAGTTCTACTATAGAATTTATTTATTTTTTATTCTTGCCTGAACTAACTTTTTTCATGTAAATTACATTGTTTTTTTTTCTGTGGTATTTACTTCACCACAAAATCATTTTTATCAGTGCATGATGTCAAAATGACAAATATATTTTTCTTCTTTTTTTTTAGTATGGAATATTGCATTCATTATACATGATTTATCCGTGCATGTCTTTTTCTATGTGCCCAAAAAATTGAGAAATGTGAAATGTGAAGCAAGATAAATCAAGATAACCCAAGATTACGTTTACACAGGGTTTAGAAGGACCCGGTTAACGAATCGGTTACCTAACGTAACCTCGGTTCTCTCTAGATGAGGGAACGAGTATTGCGTAAGCTAGCTTACGCTACGGGAAAGATTCATCTTTGCTGAGAAGTTGAAGCCAAAAAATTATTCCATAATTTTGTAATCATTGTCAACGCAGTCTCTTCTGAGGCAGACCATGAGCGGGCTAGCTAGCGGCTCATTGGATCGCTCAGAGAGAATGCACGAACCTATGGGAGAGCGGCGCTGAGTCCGCGGCCATGAGCGGACGGCGCTCGCTTACTGCGTCACAGCCCGCCAAAAGGGGCGTGGCTACAGTGTATAAAGGTCGCTCTCCCAGCTCGTTCGTTGATTCTGTAGCATGAAGCGAAACGCTGGTGGCGCAAGCACGGCCGGGAACGCAATACTCGTTCCCTCATCTAGAGAGAACCGAGGTTACGTTAGGTAACCGATTCGTTCTCTTACGAGAGGTTCTCTCGTATTGCGTAAGCTAGCTTACGCTACGGGAACACCTGGTCAACGCCGTGCGCGCTAAGTAACCACTAAGCATCCCAGGGGAACACCGGGGGAATCTATAAGTGGATGAAGATAATACGGCGGCCAGATAGCGGCCGTTACTATCTAGTGCAAAAACGCCCAAGGCGGCCGGCGAAGGCGGGCCGTGATGTGAAGGCTAATGCATAAGCACATAGGGGAACACAAGGGGTGAAACGGTTGTGATGGAACTCCCGATAGTGCGGCTTCTATAGGAGGGCTGTGAGTACTAGACCGCCAGAATTTTAGCCTGTAAGGCTGGAACTTCCAAGTTGTAAAATCTGACAAAGGTGGAGGGGGAAGCCCATCCCGCAGCCACACAAATGTCGTGGATGGAAATCCCGCAGGACCATGCCCACGATGAGGCCATGCCTCTGGTGGAATGAGCCCTGATGCCCAGAGGGCAAGGCAGGTCTTTAGCGGCATAAGCAGAGGCAATCGCGTCTACTATCCACCTGGATAGGGTCTGTTTCGAGGCGGCTAGTCCTTGGTGCGGCCACCGAACGACACAAACAGCTGCTCCGAGCGTCTGAACGCGGCAACGCGTGTAGTGTACACTCTGATAGCCCGAACCGGGCAGAGGCGGTGAGCGTCACGTTCGCTATCGGATGCCGGCAGCGCCGATAGAGAGATCACTTGCGCCCTGAAAGGGGTACCAATCGCTTTTGGAACATAACCGTGTCTAGGCTTTAGAATGACTATGGAGTCACTCGGTCCAAACTCTAGGCACGCGGCGCTCGAAGACAGCGCGTGAATGTCCCCCACACGTTTTACTGAGGCGAGAGCCGTCAGAAGAACGGTTTTTAACGAGAGGTATTTTAGCTCCACGGACTCAAGTGGTTCAAACGGTGGGGCTTTCAGAGCTTCTAGAACTATAGAAAGATCCCAGACCGGCACCGTAGGGGGGCGAGGGGGGTTCATCCTTCTGGCTCCCCTGAGGAAGCGGATGATAAGCTCGTCTTTGCCCAGAGACTGGGCGCGCCGGGGTTCAGCGAACGCCGCGACGGCTGCCACGTAAACCTTAAGAGTGGATGGGGACCTGCCCTTATCCAGCATCTCCTGAAGGAACACTAGCAAAGACGAAACCTCGCACGTCCGTGGGTCCAAATTCTTGTCGGTGCACCATTTGGAGAACACAGACCATTTTGCAGCATAGAGCTTTCTGGTAGAATCCGCTCTGGCGTGTTTGATCGTGTTCAAAAACCCCTTCTGGCAATTCGACGCGTAGTCGTTGGTCACCCATGCATGAAGCGCCCAGCGCTGTGGATGGGGATGCCAGATCGAGCGCGGGCTTGAGTGAGGAGATCTGCTCTGATTGGAATGGGCACGGGGCTGTCTGTGACAGCCGCGTTAGCTCCGGGAACCAAATCTGATTCTCCCAGCGCGGGGCTATGAGGAGCACGAGAGTGGCGTGAGTCCCTGATTCTCTGAATGACCTGCGGTAGCAGAGAAATCGGGGAAAAGCATAGAGCGGCGGCGGCGGGCCAATCCTGGGCTAGCGCGTCCTCGCTCTTTGAAAAGAATATTGGGCAGTGAGCGTTCTCTTCTGACGCGAAAAGATCTATCTCCGCTCTGCCGAATAGGCGCCACAGTGTTTGGACTGTTTGAGTGTGCAGGGACCATTCTCCGGGGGAGACCAGGTTCCTGGACAGCCTGTCTGGACCGTCGTTCAGATGGCCCGGCACGTGCGTCGCTCTGAGCGAAAGCAGGTGACTCTGGGACCACAATAGGATGCGGCGTGTCAGATGAAAGAGATTCTTGGATCTGACGCCGCCCTGACGGTTGATGTATGATACCACGGCCATATTGTCGGAGCGAATCAGGACGTGGTGACCGTTTATGCGCGGGAGGAAGCACAGCAGCGCGTTCTCGACCGCGATCATTTCCAGACAGTTTATGTGTAAGGAACTCTCGTGGCTCGACCACTGGCCGGCGGCCGGTGAGCCCTCGCAAACCGCTCCCCAACCCGAGTTGGATGCGTCTGTCGAGATGACTTTCCGCGAGAGAATGTTCCCATGGTAACGCCCCTCTGAAACCACTCGCTTGCTGCCCATGGCTGCAGTGCAGTGATACAAGTCTGAGTAATCCTGATCATCTGGCGGCCCGTCGTCCACTCGTGGTGGGATACGCGGCTCTTTAACCAGAATTGAAGGGGGCGCATGTGCAGGAGACCCAGCTGTAGCGCAGCGGAGGCTGAAGCCATATGACCCAGCATCCTCTGAAGCGATTTCAGGGATGTAAGGGTACCCATCTGAAACGAGGCGGCTAGGCGCTGAACACGGCGCGCGCGCTGTGTGGATAAGCGAGCCGTCATCGTGATAGAGTTCAAATCTATTCCGAGGAACGAAATAGTTTGACTGGGCTGGAGAGAGCTCTTTGTCCAGTTGACAGAGAGTCCCAGCGCTTCCAGATGGTTGAGG